TGTTTTTTGAAAATTTCTTATAAACACAAAGGCTGCATTTATTTGATAAAAAATAAAGTAATAAAAAAGCAATATTCTAAAATATTACAATTTAAAATAGTTTCTAGTGTTTTTACTGTCATGTTTAATCAATTTAATGTAATTAATCCTTTTTGTATAAAAGTATTAACTTCTTAAAAAATTCCAAAATTCTTAAAAAATTCCAAAGACTGATTTAATTACGACATTCACAATGTTTCATGAAAGTGCATGATTTTCAATGGAAGGAAAAAAAAAGAATGGTATTTTGTTGACCATTCCAAAAAGTACTGCGACAGAGTCTAATGAAATATGTTTAATGCTGACCATAGTTTACATTGGCTGAATAAGGGTAGATTTACGTAGCGTAACATTATTCATACAGATTTGTAATGACAAGTTATTCAAGCCTAATATAATCCTTAAAGTTCAAAAGGAATGCAATATCAATAATAGTAAAACTATTATTAATCACTACTCTGTTAATTACAGCAACTGTGATGTCAATTTGCATTAGTGCATCAAAACTGAATGCACTAAATTGCAAACCCATCAACATTAATATAATAAATAATTATTTCCGTGAGCCTACTCTGCTCTGATTGGTCTACCACGTTCAGTGCGTGTCAGAAACGATACGCCCATTTAGGGCTGGGCGATATAGCTAAAAAAATGTATCAACGATATAATGTTTTATATCGTTCGGTATTGATAATTATTGACATTTTTTATTACCTTTTTTAAAACAAAGAGCAATAGAATTTTTAATTCTTAATATTTAACCACTGTATTTTTAAATTAATCCAATTTATTGAGACAACCACCACATATTTTTTTGTTTTAACAATCAAACACAAAATAAAAATTAAACAAATATCTAATTTCTAATGTTTTATATGCAGATTAAATAGGTCTTGAGGAAACTTTTGGCTTGTTTCCCGAGGCCACAGGAGGGCGCAATGAACAAAATAATGCAGCACATTATGTCAACGCAAGGAAGTAACTCTATAAAATTTGTCAACGCAAGGAAGTAACTCTATAAAAACGTGCATTACGTCTAAATTAACTCATACAAATCAAATATAATTTCGTAAATTGCATAAACAATTATGAACAAAACAGCATCATGTATTTATGCATTGCTTAATCCAAGAAGCCGAAGTGCCATTCACACAGATTGCATTTAAAACATATGAGACGCAGTGAAAAGAAATAAACTTCCACAAATTTGTGACGTGTTTTCTAAAAGTTTAAACTATAACTTTGCATGGCTTTCTATACATCTCTTGTGAGACGCGAGTGCAGCAGTCATATTTGTCAGACTAAAAAAATACGCTGAATATGCGTTCTGAATGGCTTGGTTTCGGTTTTAACTTAATCAAGATCTTCTCCGCATTGAGCTTCTATATTTCTCTAATATTTTGAATGAATAACGCAGCAGCGGAGTGTCTCGTGGGCTAGACTAACAAAACATTAAAATGCAACAACGTCACTTACATCATCACCGCATCTCACGCGCCACTGATGACACTCCCTGATGCACACCTAACATTGCAAATGTTTAATTTAAATTCGACTAATATTCATTCTTTATCTCCTCATCACAAGCAGGCACAGCACTCATTTCAGCATGTGTTCGTGTTTGTGTGTGCGTCACTCATAGCATGTGCCTATATCATGCGCTATATCGAACATTTTTTCTATCGTTATCGAAGAAGGTTTACCGTCGATAATTATCGATACCGTTTTATCGCCCAGGCCTATTTTGCAGCCTCATCTTTCGGATGTGAAAATAAAATAATTTACTTTCACAGCTTAGGACACAGCGTCTTCTCGACATGATGTTCACTGATGACACTCCCTGATGCACACCTAACATTGCAAATGTTTAATTTAAATTCGACTAATATTCATTCTTTATCTCCTCATCACAAGCAGGCACAGCACTCATTTCAGCATGTGTTCGTGTTTGTGTGTGCGTCACTCATAGCATGTGCCTATATCATGCGCTATATCGAACATTTTTTCTATCGTTATCGAAGAAGGTTTACCGTCGATAATTATCGATACCGTTTTATCGCCCAGGCCTATTTTGCAGCCTCATCTTTCGGATGTGAAAATAAAATAATTTACTTTCACAGCTTAGGACACAGCGTCTTCTCGACATGATGTTAACCACACGAACAAGCTATAGTGTTTGAGGGCGGGTCAAGTGGCCGGCAAACATATTACATAATCGGGCATTATGCAAATGTGTTCCCCTGTGATGTGTAGCCATCACGGAAGTGGGATTCGAACTACTAACGACTTGTTTAGGCTGTTCAGAGTCGATTCTTTCTTTTGGGAGACAATAACTTTATTTATCGTGCTTTACAACTTTGCAGATCATTTACATTCACATACAGCTACATTACACACTGCATGAAAGGCAATATTCGAAATGGCATAATAGGGGAACTTTAACAAACAATTCAGACAAAAGTGTTTTGTGCAAGAAACATCGGACACTGGATACGTCACTTTCCTTACAAAACCAGAGCTTCTATTTTCTGACTCAGTCGTTTCTGGAAAGTCTCAATGAAGTTGGCTTTTCCAGCAGATGTGTGTAATCATATAAACTATAATTGCAAACTTTGCCGAGCCCTGGACACAACCTTTAATCTCTGGAAAATGAAGTGCTGGACATCTGGGTGGACGGGAGCATGGCTCCGGGCGCTGAAATGACAGAGTTCAGGGCTCCGATAAGTGCTTCTGAAAAAAGCCTTAGTTTCAATTTAGATTGAGCTTTTGTTTTAAAGTGGCCCAGAAGAGAACAGATGACTGTCACCCTTGCCATTTTCAAACCTTGTGATTTCTAGGAGGGATTTGTGCAAAATTGTACAATTTTGTCATTTCTGTGATTCTGTCTTGCTTTTCCCCCTTCTTTTCCTACTGTTTCAGCAGATTTTTATTCATATTTTCTTGCTGTCTTTCATGCATAATAAATCGCATGTCTCACATGGTCTCGTTTTCATAACAACATGTTGGATGCCCCATTTGTCATTTATTATTTCATTTTTACAAAAGGGGGCAAGAGAGTGCAGAAACTGTTGAAAGGTAGCAAGCAGAGCAAGTGTTCACTCCAAAAATGGACATTTTATCCTCATTTACTTTATTGCGCCAAACCTGTGTGACTTTCTTTTGTCTGTGGAACACAGAAGATGATATTTTGAAGGACGTTGGGATCTAAACAACAGTTGGACCCCAATGACTGTCATTGTACGGACAAAAAAAAAAGCTTATTTTTATTGTTAACTAAAATTATAAAAAAATGCTTTTGGTAATTGAAAAACTTAAACTTCAATGATAATTAGAAATGTTGTCTTGGCAGCTAACTGAAATAAGCTAAAAAGTACTGAAATAAAATATCAAAAAACTCAACTATATAGAAATATATATAAAAAATTTAAAAAATCAAATATTAAACTAAAAATGAAAATATAATATTAAATATAAATAATACTAAAATAAGACTTGTTTGGAGCAACATGAGGGCAAGTAAATGATGACAGCATTTTAATTTGGGGTAAACTATCCCTTTAAGAGAGCAGTTAAATATAGTTTAACTATTCCTTTAAATATGATTATCATGATTCATATTTAGAAAGAATAAATAAAAAAAAAAAATGCAATTGTCTATTGTTTTGGCTTTACTACTCTAGTTGAATTAATTCTAGAGAATATTAAAATATCTACAGCTATCGCTGTGGAAAATCTTGCCTTTGTCTTATATTTATGACCATAAAGAGAGCGCTAATGAAACACTCATCCCTGAGCATCATCAGCATGAATGACAGACTCCCATAATGCAATGGGAGGGGGCCACCAGACAAGACAAATGCATGGATCAGACGGCGAGATGCGCATATCTTGCTTTCTTAATGATCCAAAGAGTTATTTATTAATCCTGTTTTAGTTATTTATTAAGCGAGATGTGTCTGGTGCTGGGAGTTTCTGCTGATAAACAGCCCTCGGTTTGCACATTAAGACCAAGATGATACTAAGATGTGCTGTTGTCATACGGATGAATAAACACGACAGGAAGCTAGGAGGATTATTGCAGCTGAATTTGCATGTGTGCCCAGCGGTATGGCGTGTAGAAGCAGGATGTCAAGGGACGGGTCAGATCACTTGAAGCTCTGGGCGACGCAGACACACACACACACAAACTACTACCTAGAGAACATGCTAACTAGACAACATCAGGATCTAAAATACATCTGGCTTCATACAGTGTGCATGCAGGAGACCATACCACGAATATTGCAAGCCTTCAATTTTACAGCAAAACTCCTCCAAAAAAATATACAAAGGGGTTGAAAAAGAAAGGTGGGGATATATGGAAATAAGAGGTTGTGATATAGTTTGCAGGGCAGATCAGAAAAGAAACCGACATGATTAAAGGGTGAAAGAGAAACTCAAAGTTGAGTTTGAAGTTCTCAAAGTTGCAAAGGAATTCACAGATGAACACAATTTCATTTTAACACAATAATGGCTGACAGTACTTTTGAAAGTGGCACTTAAAGTACAAATCTGGGCTTGAAACACTTAAATTTTTTTTAATTATTTTCTGACTGAAGTGAAAGAAATTAAAGGAGGATCATAACCTTTTATAATTATGTGGTAGCTCAGGAAATATGACATTGGGTTTGTAGTGTTAAAGACAAAAAAAAATAAAATCACATTATAATGGTTATTCCAGTGAACAGGAAAACAGTGCTGTGCAGTGAGCAGATCCCTGCTGAGTCTAAGTAGATGAACAGATTAGTCCGAGTACTTTAGATCTGGCCACAAACACACCGCGAGATGAACCCCGATAATCTGAGCTTTGAATCAGTGCCTGAGAAAGCAGCCAGGAAGAAAGAAAGAAAGAAAGAAAGAAAGAAAGAAAGAAAGAAAGAAAGAAAGAAAGAAAGAAAGCAAGCAAGCACACATGCACTCACTCGTGAAGGGTCGTACTCCGGTCGTCTTCGGGCTGTCAGGTCGTCGTAGGATGGAGCTGGTCTCACCTGCTGAAGCTGATTCCTGATTTGCTGCAATCGTTCTTCATTACTAGAGACAGAGAAACAAGACAGTTAAGAGAAGCTCTCCATTCAAACACTCTGGAAAATAAACTCACCAATCTGAGTGATGACCTTCTAATTCTAATCAGGGTTATTATAGTTAACAAAAAAAAAAACATATTCAGCTAGTTGCCAAGGCAACATTTCTCATGTTCATTTATGATGTACTGAAATAACTAAAACTGAAATATAAATTAATTAAAACTACAGACATATTTGGAAAAACAAAATGACAATTAAAAAAGACAAAAACACAACAAGATTACTAAAACTTTAACTAAAATTAACACGAAAATGGAAAATATGAAAATATATTGACAATGATACTAAAATAACCTGATAAATGATTCTAATACCAAATTATTCGATAAAGTTATACAACTGCAATCATTATAAAAAGACAGTCTATCAGATGAAAATGTGAACAAACATATGAATGAAAAGTAAGGGAAAACTAGTAGCAAATAAGTCACCACAGCAAAAACAGTAATCATTTATACCACAGTAAACCTGTCTCATCCTACCGTTTAAAAAAAAAAGTGTTTGACTTGAGGCCGAAGTTAATGTGAAATTCTGTTTGTCCGATTTCCAAAATGAATGCAGCTAAAATAAACTGCACTTGATGTAAAATTCAGTGCATTCAATTATCCATCTGTAAGCTCCATAAACACATATGTAACCTAAGGGCATGTATTGCTTCAGAGCAGAACTAGCATTATAAAATCAACATTTAAACTCTGTCAACTTTTACTTCAAATGAATAGTACAGCAACCATATAGAAAATATTCCTCAAATTTCCTCTACACAGCACCATATATATGTAACTAAATATTCAATAATTGCATATGTAATTATATGAATATGTAATTGAATGTTAACAACTATAATATATAAGTATCAATATAATTAATAATGACATATTATAATGATTAATATTAATTACATACTCATATAATTACATATTAATATATAATTATCATAATTTAATATATATTTATCTATCTATCTCTCTCTCTCTCTCTCTCTCTCTATATATATATACTGCATATATGTTACAATTAATATATGACTTGCACATATTCATATCTAATTAATTATTATAAATATTATAACTATTACAATAATAATAATTATTATTATTATTTAGGCATAATTACATAGGCAATTACATTAAAATAATTACATATATTTAATGACATACTATAATTACACATTTCATGTGCAGTTAAATAGTTATTGAAATAAATTTAATGGCATTTTGTGGCAATTAAATATGTAAAATAACACAAATAATTTATTTGATTGCATATTTAATAACTTACTCAATTAATTATTTTTATTAATCTAAATAAATAAATACATAAAAAAATAAAAAAATAACCAAACAAACCTGACTTAAAGTGAACATTTGAAATTACCTGGTAGTGCTATGATACATGTCCAAAAAAATAATTAAATAAATAAAAATCCCTGTACCAAAAGAACAAATTATTGAACTTATGTCTGCTACAAATGTCTAACTTTCTAGAAACTTCATCCACAGATGTTGCCAACTTCAAAATAATTGAAAATACTAGAGGCAGCGATCTATGGCACTCCAGCAGCTGGCGGAGGACAAGCGGAGCAGGGAACGGCATCCATTATCTAATCCCACAGAACGCAATTAGAGCTGCCATTTTGATTGAGAGTCCACATGACCCTCTGAACGAGAAACACTATCAATGTTTAATTAGCTCCCGTCGAGCATGTATGCATCATATTCATATTAGTTACAGGACTGGAGCCGACCTGAAGTGCTTTAGAGGGACTGGCGGAAGAAACAAAGGGAAAAAGAACATTGCAAAAAATACCTCACATTTACAAAGATGGTTAAACACACACATCCATGTACAAATGAGAGACCATCTGAAGACCGACTGTCATCACCAGTTCATTTGGTGTATTATGATAGCGAGTAAAGCCGGAGATATTACCTTTCCCTCTCTGAGACAGAGAATTAGACAGACAGAGCAATCTAAGATCATCATCACAGACCGAGGCCGTTTCCTGCTGTGATTTACCCGTTTACATTACATTTGAGTAAAGCTAATTAGTGCTTGTGTTGAGCAACAGAATGCAGTGCTAACTATGAGCGTGTGTGAGCTCTAGACATGAATATGAGTGATTTTTGCCTTCCCATTTTGTCTAAATCATTCACCAGTTTTCTTACTCTCTTCCCACCAACTTTGGTCAGAAAATCAATAATTTATCATTTTATTATTATATATTTTACATTAAATATTTATATTTAAAGTATCTTTATGTGAAATATATTTAAAAATATGTCTTTAAAATAAATAATTTAACAAATCTAAAATATTGTGCCAAGATAATGTATTTTTATATTTCTAAGCCAATTAAAAAAAAAATAAATAAAAATAAATACAGTTTAGATGATGTTATGTTAAGATAGTTTTGGTGGTGCAAACTGTTTTTAAATATTAAATTAATGAACAATTAAATATATTTTATGACATATTCAGTTATAATTACATATGCAATTAAATAAATAAAATTGATTTATTTTATTGCATATTTGGTTACATGTTCAGTTATAATTACATGTGCACTTAAAAAAAAGAACAAATATATAAAAAAACAAATATATATATATATATATATATATATATATATATATATATATATACACACACACACACACATTGTATTGCATATTTAATAACACATTCAGTTACACTTAAATATGCAATTAAATTAATCTTGTCAAACTAATCTGTAAATACTGTATAATTCTTTTTTCACATTATTTGTGTGTGTGTGTGTGTGTATATATATATAATATAATAGAAATGTGTAATAAAACAGATATTTTTGACCCAGATTCAGATTGGATAAGACTGAAATCATTGTAAAACAGCAGATAAACTGTGATGGCACATTAATTAAATTTCGTATTAACATGTTAATTTACCAAATTGTGTTCCAGGTGTATACAACTTTTTATTAAACATTTTGCCACCTTGGAATTATAAGGTTCTATCTGCATTCTGAGCAGTTTCGAGACATTGAGCTTCAAAGTTGCATTCCATATAGTGATATGGGATATGGGGAAAAAGTTGTGTGTGTGTGTGTGTATATATATATAATATAATAGAAATGTGTAATAAAACAGATATTTTTGACCCAGATTCAGATTGGATAAGACTGAAATCATTGTAAAACAGCAGATAAACTGTGATGGCACATTAATTAAATTTCGTATTAACATGTTAATTTACCAAATTGTGTTCCAGGTGTATACAACTTTTTATTAAACATTTTGCCACCTTGGAATTATAAGGTTCTATCTGCATTCTGAGCAGTTTCGAGACATTGAGCTTCAAAGTTGCATTCCATATAGTGATATGGGATATGGGGAAAAAGTCTCTTTCATACATCAGTCCCAAAATGTACACAACTTAAAAAAAAAAAAAAAAAGCATCACATGATGTAAATAAGTTGTTACAGAATAAGAATATGTAAATAACTCAATTTTGACCAAAAAAAAAGGCAGATGGAACCTTATAATTCCAAGGTGATAATTTACATCTTTAATGTCGCTGTTGTTTTCACATAAATATATATTTCTAGTCTCTCTGACAAGGAATGCTGGTCTTGGATCAGTTTTTCACTAACTAATGAATATGATTATGTAGACGGGGGAATTAATCCACAATCTGACTGTGAAGCTGTCAACACATGGAGCCCGAGCGGCCAAATAATCCATGAATGAATAGATATTGACATACAGGTTATGCTAGAAACTGTGACACACTTCTCTCTGCTTCCCTGTTCAATTCATCTCTATACCTCTATCTTACTTCTGCAGGACGTACTGAATAATGAGATCTGACAACAGGCTGCCATCTTTTCCAGCTGGACACCACCACACAGGCCTGTAATCAGAAATGACACCCTTTTCTAAACACACCTGCCATTGAGGTCTTAATGAATATGTCCGCTGTTCAATTACACAGTCTTGCTCTGTCTTGACAGGGCTGTCAGAGATGTGTGTGGCCACAAAGATCACTATAGGAAATGCTCACAGAAATGAGATATAAATAGCTTCTGATTTATTTCTTTGATTGATTGGATAAACATCCTGAAAATATAGTTGAAGGGTCAGGATTATAGTTAAGGTACTGTCAAACTTTAGTTTAGTTCTCACAGTGATTTAACTGTGATTTCACTTTTTTATTTGGAAGCTATGATTTTTTCTTTTCCATATACATAATTTGTATTATACTACTACTAATACTAAATATTATCAATATTATTAGTAGTAGTAGTATATTTTTAAGCACATTTTCATCAGGAACCTATTATAATTCCAAATATATATATATATAATTAAATCCACATCTATATATTTTTACATGTAAATATATCATGTCATATCATAGTAAAATAAAATAAAATAAATAGTACAAGTGAAATAAAATTGTAAACTATTAAATTTTCATTAGGTACCTATGATTTTTTTTTATTAAAATACTTTTTTTATAATAATAACAGGGACAATACATATTTAGATATTTATTTATTTATTTATAAGTACATTTTAATCAGCAACCAATGGAAATTTCTAAGTAATTGTCATAGCACTTGGCAAATAAAATAAAATAAAAAAAATAAAATAATGCCTGTAATTCCTGTAATCATTATAATTTTCCTGTAGTAACAATGATGTATGGTGTAATGGAAAATGTCTGTAGAAGAACTACTGAAGTTGGACAGTACACGAACCCTTTTTGTGAGAGTTGCGTGTTCCATACCAGTAACCATAGCGACAGTGACCAACATAATATCAAAGATGGCGACGTCCATAAAACTGAAGCTTCTTTTCACTTTTTGACACGACAAGAGTCCAAATCGAGCTGCAAGTTCATCCATCAAATCTTCTTTAACTGACAGCAGCTTTTATATCTGGGTGGAGAGCAGAGCATTCGAGTCACACGTAGGACATAAAACTGACAGGACTGGATCTAAAACCTTCAGACGACACACAGCTCCTACCCGTGTCGCTGTAAGTTACTGAAACCACACATGAAAACCCAAAACACAAGACAGACACGCGTTTGTGCAGCAGAGCGGCTCTCTGGCACTATGAGAAAACAAGCTGTCCAGTCCGGTTCCGTTCACACAGGGCGGAGCTGAAAGTCTGAAAGGGAGTGAGTTCAGTTACAGAACGTGGTTGTCACTCCCATAAATAACCGTACTGTGTGTGAACGTAACGATATTATGGACTCACACACACACACACACACACACACACACTTATGAGTATATTCATAAGTAAATATATTCAGCATTATTATTATTATTATGATGTTTTAATGTGTTTAATGTTTTAGTGTTTTACTTTTGTAGTCTAATAACTGTGCAATTATTATTGTGTCAAAAAAACAGCAGAACCAACAGGTTTGACTAATAACGATGATAATAATAAAAAATTGAAATATATCTTGTACAGTAGTATTACACACCAACAGTAAAACACATATGTATTCTGAATATTTAATAACAACAATACACTCAAATATTATACAAATTATTGTACATAATATGCTTTACAAATATTTGTATAATAATTGAGTAATAATCATATCTAATAATATATTTCAATTATTATTATTATTATATTATTACATGTGTTTTACTGTTGTAGTATAACAACTGTCTTACTATTATGTAATTTAATTATTATCGTGTCAAAAAGCGGAAATAAAAATAAATAAATGGTTCTGCTATTGGTTACTGCATACTTAAAGGGATAGTTCACCCAAAAATGAAAATTAGCCCATAATTGCTTATTAGATGAATAAGCCATCATAGGCGTATATGACTTCTTTCAGATGAATCCAATCGGAGTTATATTAAAAGTTTACTTTGATCTTCCAAGCTGTTTAATGGCAGTCAGCGGGTGTTGCAGTTCATCAGTCCAAAAGAAGTGAAATAAAGCGCATCTATCCATAATAAAAAGTGCCTCACACGGATCCGGGGGATGAACAAAGGCCTCCTGTAGCAAATCGGTGCGTTTTTGTAAGAAAAATATCCATATTCAAAACGTAATAATCACTTGAATCTAGCTTGCGCCAACAGTTGTACACGGAAGCAGCTCCGGGAGGATGACGTAAGAAGTCGGCATTGCGCATGTGCCGGTGAGTCTCGTAAAAAAAAACAATGTTTGTTTAAGAATGAACACGGTCCCCACGGACACTGCAACACTCACGCATAATTACCGCCAGACAACAAATCAATGCTCTCGGTCGTTGAGACCACTCAACCTGGACTAAAAACTCACCAGTGAGACATACATTCCCTCTGTATATACAGACTGTAGAGCTACACAGTAAATCACAAATGACTTCACAAACCTGTCTGTCAATATTTCAGCTTGATTCGACTGAAAGGCCAAAGCGTTCGTTACGTTCGACGTGCCTGGAGTTTTGGTGTGTTGCATGTACATTGCCAAAGCAAAATGTTTTCTGCTTTTGATAACAGGTTCAACAAGTACTATAACTTTCATTGATTTACTTTTACAGAGTGACTATACTGAGGAGTTTGTGAACAGCAGAAAATAGAGATAATCGGTTTCAATAATAATGATAATAATTTTGAACAACAGTATTAGCCTACAACAGTAAAACACATCATATGTATTATGAATATAAATAATATAAAATATTACAAAATATTATTGATAATAATAGTACATTAATAAATATATATATATATACACACACACACACACACACACACACACACACACTTATGAGTATATTCATAAGTAAATATATTCAGCATTATTATTATTATTATGATGTTTTAATGTGTTTAATGTTTTAGTGTTTTACTTTTGTAGTCTAATAACTGTGCAATTATTATTGTGTCAAAAAAACAGCAGAACCAACAGGTTTGACTAATAACGATGATAATAATAAAAAATTGAAATATATCTTGTACAGTAGTATTACACACCAACAGTAAAACACATATGTATTCTGAATATTTAATAACAACAATACACTCAAATATTATACAAATTATTGTACATAATATGCTTTACAAATATTTGTATAATAATTGAGTAATAATCATATCTAATAATATATTTCAATTATTATTATTATTATATTATTACATGTGTTTTACTGTTGTAGTATAACTACTATTATGCTATTATGTAATTTAATTATTATCGTGTCAAAAAGCGGAAATAAAAATAAATAAATGGTTCTGCTATTGGTACTTAAAGGCTTAAAGGGATAGTTCACCCAAAAATGAAAATTAGCCCATAATTGCTTATTAGATGAATAAGCCATCATAGGCGTATATGACTTCCTTCTTTCAGATGAATCCAATCGGAGTTATATTAAAAGTTTACTTTGATCTTCCAAGCTGTTTAATGGCAGTCAGCGGGTGTTGCAGTTCATCAGTCCAAAAGAAGTGTCCTAGGTGTATATGACTTTCTTCTTTCAGACGAATTTGAGTTATATAAAAAAAAATGGACTTTGATCTTCCAAGCTGTTTAATGGCAGTCAGCGGGTGTTGCAGTTCATCAGTCCAAAAGAAGTGAAATAAAGCGCATCTATCCATAATAAAAAGTGCCTCACACGGATCCGGGGGATGAACAAAGGCCTCGTGTAGCAAATCGGTGCGTTTTTGTAAGAAAAATATCCATATTCAAAACGTAATAATCACTTGAATCTAGCTTGCGCAAACAGTTGTACACGGAAGCAGCTCCGGGAGGATGACGTAAGAAGTCGGCGTTGCGCATGTGCCGGTGAGTCTCGTAAAAAAAAACAATGTTTGTTTATAGGAGCAAAGGAAGCAAAGTTTCCTTACTTTAGCAAAGGAAAACCAGTCTCCTCTTGGCTTATATCGAAATCCTCCGACATTCTTCTTTACAAATATTCGTTTTATACTTCTAATTCGTGACCGTTGTTTTGTTTTGATCTCTCCCCTGCGCTTCCGCGTTCGTCACTTCTGAGCGGTGCATGTGCAAAGGCCGACGTCCTATGTCATTCGCCCGTAGCTGCTTCTGTGTACAACAGTGAGCGCAAGCTAGATTAAATAGATTTTTACGTTTTAAATATTGTTATTTTTCTTACAAAAACACGTCGATTCGCTACAGGAGGACTTTGTTCACCCCCTGCAGCTGTGTGAGGCACTTTTTATTATGGATGGATGCGCTTTATTTCACCTCTTTTGGACTGATGAACTGCAACACCCGCTGACTGCCATTAAACAGCTTGGAAGATCAAAGTCCATTTTTTTTTATATAACTCAAATTCGTCTGAAAGAAGAAAGTCATATACACCTAGGAGGCCTCGAGGATGAATAATTCATGGGCTGATTTTCATTTTTGGGTGAACTAACCCTTTAATCGGTACTGGTCACAAAAAAAATATTGCACAATACTTTTACGCTATTAAAAAGTTAGCTATTAAAAAAATGAATGGATTGGTTCTCACCTGTCAGTCTTTGGAGGAGCGGTTCTTTGCTTGTTCACTTTTGCATAAAGCCCCTCTAGCGCGTCCTCATTGGGTGGCTCTCTGTTGGGGGCGGGCAGAGTAGGCTGACTGTAGTTATGGGTGGGAGTTCCAGGTGGATAGGGGGAGTGGCTGGAGGCGGGAGGTTCTCTGAAATTGTTGATGCGAGCATAGTTGGGATCCAGGTCATCGTCTTCGACGTCCGGGAAGATGGCGCGGTCAAGAGCAGGGCTGTTCCTTTCACTCCTATGGAGTTAAAAAACAATCTCTTCAGGATATCTTGGATGAATAAAGACACAAAAGAAAAGCTTGGGGTGTTTGATGGAGAATGTGTTACATCCGTTTTAAGGGCCGAAATAGCCGGGTCATTTTTAACTTAAGCTATGCAGAAAAAATTCTGTTGCACAATGGTGCGTCGCTTTCACATACCCTCGCTGTGTTTCACTACATCCTTGTAAAACATAATTCCTATTAAAATCAATGAATTGTGTGTGCGTACAGTGGTGTGAAAAAGTGTTGGCCCCCTTCCTGATTTCTTATTTTTTTGCATGTTTGTCACACTTTAATGTTTCAGATCATCAAACAAATTTAAATATTAGTAAAAGATAAGACAAGTGAACACAACACGCAGTTTTTAAATGAAGGTTTTTATTATTAAGGGAAAACAAAATCCAAAACTACATGGCCCTGTGTGAAAAAGTGTTTGCTCCCTAAACCTAATAACTGGTTGGGCCACCCTTAGCAGCAACAACTGCAATCAAGCGTTTGCGATAACTTGCAATGAGTCTGTTACAGCGCTGTGGAGGAATTTTGGTCCACTCATCTATGCAGAATTGTTGTAATTCAGCCACATTGGAGGGTTTTCGAGCATAAACAGCCTTTTTAAGGTCATGCCACAGCATCTCAATAGGATTCAGGTCAGGACTTTGACTAGGCCACTCCAAAGTCTTCATTTTGTTTTTCTTCAGCCATTCAGAGGTGGACTTGCTGTTGTGTTTTGGATCATTGTCCTGCTACAGAACCAATGTTCGCTTCAGCTTGAGAAAAAAAAAAAAGAAATCAGGAAGGGGGCCAACACTTTTTCACACCACTGTATATGCACATATAAATATAAGTATTATATACAGAAGTATTGACTAAGTTAATTATTAAATAGAAACTCATTACTATAAGTCAAAATCATATCTATGATCATGATCCAATGAAATACCATGTAATGATTTTGAAATAAAAAGTCAAAATTATGACATACTCCCCCGTTTTCACAGATAAGGCTTAAGCCTAGTCCCAAACTGAGCTGTTTTAACTGAAAAAAAAATTGCACTGACATATCTTAAAATATATCAGTCCCATTGTTTTGTCTCAAGATGCACACCAGTAATGTTTTTTTAAAGAAACATTTATAAAAGATACTTAAATGTCCTAATTGAACTATGGCCTAAACCTGGCTTAGTCTAAGCCCTGACTGTGAAACCAGGCCACTGAGTAATAACTATGAGATGAAAAGTCATAATTATGAGATTAAACATTAAAATTGACATACTAAGCCATAATTATAACAAAATGTTAGGGTTAAAAATCACGTAAATATTTAATATTTAGGGTTTAAAAAACAAGTCACGTAAATATGATTGAGTTTTAATATGTTTTGCTTTATTAGATCATTAGTCTTGAGTCTTTAATTAAGATGAAAAGAACAACCAATTAAACCAATAGGGCAGTTCAGAACTGGTTTAATCATTTCTACAGCTTCAGACTGATACATTTGCATATTCTTCTATTTTATAATTGAACTTTGTGGATGAAATAATACGTGTTATGTAAGTGGTGAACATACTTTGACAGAAACATCTCAGGTTCACTCTTGTCCACCTCCTCTTCGCTCAAAGCTCCCAGTTCTTTAGCCTTGGATTTGTTTTTTCTCCCAAACCTGGAAGAGGGTTTGAAGAAAGCGAGGATGGAAAGAAAGAAAGAGCACAGACAAAGAGAGAAAAGGGGAGGATGTGTTATGTTTTCAGTAATGAATGACTCAACAGATTCCCTGTGCTTCCAAGTATCAAAGCAGAATTTGCTCTAGATGATCTAATGATTGGTTCCCCATGTACCAGCCTGCAAACACACATGCGCCTGCAAAACCAAGCAGTATCAGTGTCCAATGCCCTGCAGTGATTTTTCTAGCCCATCTCCACGCCAAACCTTCAGAAACTCACATATTCTTCTGCTCTGATCTGAGGTCAGGCGGGGTCTCTGTGCTGACAGGCAGATAAAGACAGAAGAGGAAAAGGTTATATCAAGAATAAAGCTAATAATTGTAGAGAGTGGGTGAGATGATCACACAATCTCAGGTCAGTGAGGGCGTAATGAAACATCAGTGGCAGTTGTAAAAAGAAACAGCTTCTGGATCAGTAACCGGACGATCAATGTGAAACTCATGAATAGTTGCTTAGTAGTATTACTCTTCTTCTACAATAAAATCCAACCAAAAAGTAAAAAACTATTTAAAAAAAATAATATACTGTTTTAGGAACATTACTTTTTTATTTATTTATTTTTTGCATTGTGATATTCTTTTCATGATATTTAAGCACATTTCCCCCTCAAAAATAAAATAAAATAAAATAATCAGGGTTTCCATGTTTCCAGGACTTCCTGCAGGGGTCCATAAACGGATATATAAAACAAATAATTATAATATTTAGAATATTCTATATTTTATTGTATTAATTTAATTCAGTTCAACGAATAATACAATGATGCAAACTTACAATTCTACTTTACCAATAGTATATAAATAAAATATTATTTCATATTAATATATTTTTAAAATATTATTACAAAATGCAATTATAAAATAACTATTAAAGCATTTATATTATGTAAATGTTTAATATTGTGAAATATAAATTAGCAAATATGTGACCCTGGACCACAAAGCCAGTCATAAGGGTTGTTAGGATAGGACACTATTTGGCTGAGATACAACTATTTTGCACACTCTAGTCAGGAATAATCGCAAACCTCGGCTCCCAAGATTCCTAAATTTCTTTTTAATTTGACACAGATATCACCCGAGGCTTCAGTTTACCGACATAACAAATATGCATGTTTGCTCAAGATAAGTCGTGACTACATGATCCAAACACTGGCCCACAAGCGATTCAAGGGTCCGGTTGGATCCAGCATCCTCTCGCCATGTCTCCTGTGCGCTATGCCTCAAGAGTACTCTATTTCCCAGCCCCACACACGCACTAATGACTGTATTTATCTCATTAGGCTGGAGCGATCTAATACCGGCAGCTGGCATGCTAGCTCTGCCTTGCCCTTAAGCACTCTCATTAAAACCAGAGGGAGTCGTGGCCTGAATATCAATGTGCCGCAGTCCTGCTCAATCCAAGTGAGCGCCACGCCGGTCATCACGCAACACAGAGCTCATGCAACTCTACTTGATTACTGGTCACTTGACATTTGTCATTGTGAACATAACACAGTGCAGAGTGACCTGATCCTTCTGAAAACTGACCATGCTAACTGCACAGTTATTATTGTAAAACATAACAAATAATATGGGATCTACAATGGCATATACAAACAAACTACTTTACATGTCATATCTGTTGGGTCTTGGCCATAATAAGCTGTAAATAAGACCAATCTTCATGCTGACAGTCAAACGTCTGGTTAAGTGAGACTGGAGTAGCTAAGCACTGGGTTTCCTGACACCAGTTTGCAATTCAGCCTATGTGTCTTGAAAACCCAGCTGATGACTCAATCTACCTGAAGCCTGAAGCGTTCAGGTGGATTTGATTGTCGTAGTAAATGTGAAACATGCCCTTGGAAGCTGATTACACTTCTAAGAGTTGTCAGCATAAGGTTGAAGTGTGCAGCCCAAGGTAGCATACTAACAGTTTAATACGGTCTAAATTGAGTTTGCAAAGTGAATTAGCATTACTTTGGTTGTTAACCTGAGATTAAGATGGTCTATGTAGCTCTTGGGAGACTTAAAATTTAGGTGGTGGAAATTACAGGCTAACATCAAGGGCGAAGATGATGTGAAATCAGACAAAACGATAGGAATGTTGATGAGAATCGTGTGAGCTGTAATTACAAGTCTAAAACCCAATTATGCTGTAATGTAACCTACAATACTGAAGCCATCTTCATAAAAAGCTTTTTCTCTGGTTTTGTGCTAGCAGCTCTTGGTTTATCGATTGACTCAACTTTACTGAGTGTAGCAATTTATCAGTCTAAACCGGAGGCTAATATTTTAGCAGACAAAGCCTCAATTTTCACACAAACAGACAGCTGATCCATGGGAACTGGGGACGTACTGCTAAGCTGATCATTATGTTTGCATATATTAATGCCTGTTTCTCCCCTGCCTGGCTTTAAGGATCTTTCTAATTAGGTAAAACTGTCAGGAATGTCTGTACAATTTTTTTAATGTTTTTGAAAGTCGTCTCTCACCAAGGCTGCAATTATTTGATCAAAAATGCAGTAAAAAGAGTAATATTGTGGAATATTATTACCATTTAAAATAACTATTTGAATGTATTTTAAAATTTAATTTATTCCTGTGATGCAAAGCTGAATTTTTAGCAGCAAATGCTCCAGTCTTCAGATTTGCTGCTCAAGAAACATTTATTATTATCAATGTTGAAAACAGTTGTACTGAAACATACTTGCATATATATATGTGTGTGTGTGTGTGTGTGTGTGTGTGTAGGGGTGCAACGGTACACAGAAGTCACAGTTTGATACGTACCTCGGTTTTAGGGCCACGGTTCGGTATGGGTTTGGTACAACAGGAAAAAGCAACGAAGTCCCAATGCTATTTTTTTCCATTTATTTTAAACAGACAGTAGTGCTACACACTAGGGTTGTGCCGATAGACGATAGTATCATGTATCGATGATAGCTTTTGTCTATGTCGATAGTCAAGACTATATTACAACATTCTCCTATTAATGTATTAAATTACTATTATTATGATTATTATTAGGCGGCCTATTGTTATTCGGCTATTATTTCCAAATTGCCCCGCTATTTCATCTCAGCACCGCACTTCACACGCACAAATTAGGATTAAGCTTCTCGTCCTCATTGGAAATGTTTTAAAAACAGAATATAAAACTAAGCCCACATCAAAATTTAACTGCAAGGTGATAAACCTATATTTTACAAATTATGTCAATAGTGCTAAAAGAGACATCTTTCTTGAACAGCTGTATGAATGAACATGCTGAAAACTGCATCGTCATCAGCATTTCGTTTTCTTTACAGCACATTATCAAAAAAATATTGATGCTTATTCTTCATCATCGTTATTATAAAAATATGCAGATAAGTTATCAGTCTTAACAGGGCTCGTCATGGGGTGCGGGGTCTGAAGCGCTGTATGACTGATGTACCCATTTAATTTAACTTTACTCCAAATATATGAACTTACCTGTTTTAAATACTTTTATATTTAACGTGTTCGTTTATGTCCAATATTTAGTGTTAAACTGTTGGTTTTTAAAATAAATCTACTTTTGATTTTCACCCTTTACTGATTTTGCAGACCTTTTAGACTGATAACTTTCATGCGCTGATGCAGCAAACTTGTCACAGGACGTGCGGTCCTAATAGCGATGTATGACTGTTGTATCCGAATATACTTTTATATGAACTAGCTGTTTTAAATATTTTTATATTTAACATGTTAGTTTATCAGTATGTTTGAAAGTGTATTATTTCGATTATTGGTGCTTCCATAGGCTCTCTCTCTGTCTCTCTCTCTCTCTCGCAAGCGCGTTTAAAAAACAAATAGTTATGAATCAGAATCAGAATCAGAATGAGTTTTTATTGCCAGGTATGTTTACACATACGAGGAATTTGTTTTCATGACAGAAGCTCCACAGTGTAACAGAATGACAGTGACAGAACAAAAACACAGATAATAAAAAATAGAAAAATAGAACAAGTAAATAAGGAATAAAAATATACAAATCGACAATTGTATGTACAGGTATATAACAGTAGACAGTTGTATGTACAGGTATATTATGTGCAAATTGAAATGTAGACTGAGTGTGTGAGTATGAGTGATAAGTGTATGAGTGAATAAATAGTGTGTGTTCCACAGTTATTGTTAAGTGTTCATGAGATGGATGGCCTGATGGCCTGAACTGTTCCTGTGTCTGGTCGTTCTGGTGCTCAGAGCTCTGTAGCGTCGACCAGATGGCAACAGTTCAAAGAGGGAGTGTGCTGGATGTGAGGGGTCCAGAGTGATTCTGCCAGCCCTTTTGCTCACTCTGGACGAGTACAGTTCTTGGAGAGAAGGGAGGGTTGTACCAATGATTCGCTCAGCAGTCCGGACTACCCTCTGAAGTCTTCTGAGGTCAGACTTGGTAGCTGAGCTGAACCAGACAGTTATTGAAGTGCAGAGGATGGATTCAATGAT